GAGCATGCAAGAAATCACCTTGTTGTGCTATTGCAGTTGTACCAATTGTTTGCTTGAGAATTTTCTGAAGTGCTTCCATTTGCTCCTTATTGAATGGAGATGGATTAGTTAGAATTTACCTCTATTGTGTTGCCTTTGTTGTCCAAGTTTTTTGTCTGTTTTTGCTATGAAGGCTTGCCATGAATAATCCAGCAGGTGTCCTTAATGTGTCCCAATTTCTTGTAGTGATCGCACCAAGACCGATTTTTCTTTTTAGATGGAAGAGATTGGTTCTCCCTTGCTGCCATTGTTGTGCCTTCAATGGGTAGGGTTGCACTTGACTTTCCAAGTATTACTTTCCTCCTGTTTTCCTCCCTTCTCACTTCCGAAAATACTTCCTAGATTGTTTTAAGAGGTTTGGTTCCAAGGATTCTCCCTTGAACTTCATCAAAGAGTTATGTGTTCAGCCCCAATAGGAACTTGTAGATCCTAACTTTCTCCACCAATTCTTTATACTTCTTCTTATCCTCGACACAACTCCATTGAACGTCTTCATATGTGTCTAATTGTTGCCAATGCTCAGTGATTGAGAAATCACCTTGTCATAGTTCATGGAGTATGCTCTTGATCTCCCGCAAACGTATTGTCCACATTTGAGTAGGTTTCCTTCATTACACTCCACATCTCCTTGGCAGTGCCATAATACATGAAATTATCCTCAATTTCATCGGTCATGGTGTTGAGTAACCATGACATGACTAAACTGTTATCTAGTTGCTATTTCTTGAGGTTAGAATCACCCTCTACTAGACACTTAAAGTCTCTAGTGATGTAACCTTCCTTCCCTTTTCCATAAAGGAAGATTTTAACTGAACGCACCCATTGAGGGTAATTTTGGTCATTCAATTTGTGACCAGTGATAGGAAGAGCAGGTCCTTCGACCAAACTGGTGGTCGAACCTCTTGTCTTGTTCTCTTCCATGATTGGTTGCGCTAAGTTTAGGATGGTCCAGATTGAGCTCTGATACCATGCGGAAAATATGTTGTGTATTTCTTATTTTGGAAAAGATACAAAGAAGGTATAAATAGAATACAAGGTAATAAATCTATACACTAATCTATCCCTGAAAATCAAGAAAATATTCTCCCTATAAATGTTGTACATAACTATGCATAAATAACGAAATAAAACTGATTATATTATCATTAAATCCTATCATAATTGAATTATTCTAATTGATAGTGTTGATCTCCAACACCTGCATCTTATCATAGTATTTCCTCCTTGAAAACTACTATGTTAACTTTCATCAATTCATCAGAGATATAACATAAATATAAGGATATCACATGATATTTCTCATTTTACAACAATATATTGTTCTATACATATATTATCACGTAATACACATTATTTAATGTTCAATACATGTATTCTATTATCCTAAGTCATGTATGTACCATTTCTCACATTTCAGCAAAGAATAAATTTGTGGGATTTGACCTATGTCTATTCTTTTGGTCATAACTCTTTCTACAAATATCATTTTTGTCTAACTCTTGTTTCATTGGATTCCTTAATTCAAAGATTCAATTTGCATACATGGAACATTAAATTTGAAGTTCTTAACTCTTTGTTATGATTTTTATAAGTTTGGACACAAAATTACTAAGAAATTTCACTTAATTGAAAATACACTCAAAAATCACCTTCTTTTCTAGAAAATTTTCGCTTGAGAGAAATTTGTTTAAATTGAGTGAGACTCACTTTCCCTTATGCTAAAATACACCTGAGACAAATCTCAACCACTGGAACTTTTTTGCTTGAGCGAGATCTTTTCACTTAAGTGAAAATATACCTGATATGAGTAATTTCCTCTTCTGCACATTTTTCTTAAAAGACCAATTATCGCTTAAGTGAAATATGAAGATAATACACTTGCATAACTTGTGCTAAACCACACTTCAGATATCAAACACTATCCTATGAGACTCTATTACTCAATTTCTTTTAAAATATGTCATACCTAATCCAATTATAGTTATTATACCCTAACATTTTTATATACATCATTACTCTAAATCAACTCATTCAATCATAATTTAAGATACAACACAACAAATCAAATTCTAGCAAATTAAACAAGGTGACCAAGTCACCTTCACAGTTTAGATATCTATTCTTGGATGCTAAGAAATTTACTACTAACTTTCTTACCTTCGAATTTCATTGCTCTCAAGCTTGAAAAAGTTCTAAATCTCCAATTTCTTAGGGAGTCAAATCCTACTCACAAAAAATATCAATTAATAAATCAAACATACCACAATGTTCTTAAACTAATTAAGATTCATCTTTACCCCACCAAGGTGACATACAAGACTCATATACCCACGTGCAAAACTTTAACCCCAAATTTGTAAAAATACTCTAAAATTGGAGAAAGAAAAACATATTATATGATCGGATGGAAATGTTTTCCTCGCCTGTAAGAGTACAATAATATGTTTGGATCTAGATAAATATAAGAATTGGATAAGGAAGCTTTAGAGAGAAATTAAATGATTTAGAGTTTAAAAAAATAGTAGTTCTTTAGAAATAAAATTTCAAATGTAAAATTTTTTTGCTTAGACTATTTTTATTTTAAAAATAAAAACTTTAAACTTTATTTTATTTAATCATTGTTTCTCTTTCAATTATTAAAGTCTCAATTTTTATATATGGCATCGTCGGGTAGGTTCCTCCATGATCTTTAAATTATTAAAGTCTCAATTTTTACATATAACATCGTGGAACATGTTCCTCCATGAAATTCAAAGACTGTTTGCTTCATAATTTACTTAGGATTTCATGTGGTTAGGTTTAATTATCAATGGCGTTGGCTAATAAACCAAGAAATGGTGATGTTTATGTGGTATTCATGAGGGATGGTGTGTTGGTGTTGTTTTAATTTAGATCTCTGTTATATTATAGGATCGTTCGTTTTCTGTTCGTAGTTTCGTTTCATGCTGAATGCCTCTACTTTATCGTGTAGCCTTTCTTGTGTATCGATACTGTGTTTAAAATTACCAATTGAAGTATGTTGTATTAAGAGAAAATGGTGATTTTATTTAGAGGTTATGGACAAAGAATCTACCATGGATTGTGGTTGTCCCACACCAGTGAAGCATGGTTGTCCTCACTGACTTTTTGGCCCGAGTCCGGAAAGGAGATTTAAAAATAAATAAATAAATAAAATAATATATATATATATATATATATATATATATATATATATATATATATACTGTTTTATTTATTCAAATAAAATAAAATAAAACTATAAATTAATTTTTAATTTAAAAATATATCTAATCTGACTATAATGTATTTAAAATTAATTTATAAGAATGTGAATATTTTTATTGTGTCAATTAAGCGGAGATTGACATGTACAGTAACATTGTTTATTTTTATAATAATTTGTAAGATTATTTTTAACGGTTTAATAATATTAAATTTTATTTTTATTGTCATCTGTATATCAATTAATTTTTTTAATAATAGTTAGTCATTAAAAAGTAATTATTAACATATCTAAAAATGTATTAGATAGGAGAAAAAAGAAACAAGGACTAGACCAAAATCCACTTAAACGACAAACTTTTAGAAAGATAAATCAAATTCATCTTTAAAACTTTCACACAGTTAAATTAATTAATTTATTAATTGATCATTAACAAGTCTATGCACAAATTATTATAATTTATTATGTTAAATACCTACATAACTAATTATCTTATGGCTATCCAATTAGATAGAATAATCTACTATGCATAATATTAAGGCCGCTGATAAAATTAGTAGTCCTAAAATTGAAATTGATCCAATTAAATTTAATTATTTATTTACACTTTATTGTAACTGTCCAAAATAATCTATTTACTAAACATGATTAATTTTTTAATATAATCGAATTATAATCATAAAAATTATAATACTAATAATTAAAATAAAAATAACTTAAATAATTATAATATTTTAAATAATACTTATATTTATAACAGTAAATATATAAATAATAATTATTATTATTATATTAATAATAATATTAGTAATTATTTTAATAATACAAATAATTATTATAATAATACTATTCATATTAATAATTAAAATAAAAATAATTTAAATAATTATAATATTTTAAATTGTGATAATAATATTTTTTATCAAAAGAATAATTTGGTCATCTTTATTTTTTTATTAAATTTTTTTTATCATTTATATCAATATGTACATTTTCTTTTTGTTTTCCTGCATTATTTATCGCTTTTCCCTCAACAATTTCATTTTCCATTCTCTGATATTTATCATTTTCTACTCCCTCATATTTATAGTTTAATCCAAACAAAATCAAAAGCGATAAATAACTAAGGTGACAAAGCACCAATAGGGTTGACTATATTATTTTATTATTATTATATTCTTTGAGTCAATTATTGGACTATTTTTATCCTTCAATTATCAACGAATTATTTTTTTTATTTGTTGGGAAACTGATGACAACTCACCAATACACAATTCAATATGAATAAGAGATTAAGAATAAGGAATGAAAAGAAAAATATGAATGTAGATATTATTATTATAACTAAAAAAGGTTATCAAATGATTATTTTTTTACTTTTGGTTATTTATATATTACTATTCATTTTGTTCATTGTACTTAGTGGATTAATTGTGTTTTACTATTTTAGAGGGTTAAAACAAGTTTGGAAACTACTAGTAATTCAACATTATTTCCCATAATTGTTAAGTTTAACATGTTATTACTTTTTTTATCACTTTATAGCAAATACATTTTATTTATTAATTTTTTATTTCTCTTGTAGACAAATAAGCAAATGGAGATAGAAGATTTCAAATGAAAATGAGTCAGACTCTTGTCCAATTCAGATTAACAATGAAATTTCTTCTACCAATTATTCAACCATCTAACATTAATTAAATACATTTTTTTTTGTTAGTCTTTCTTCTGGTTCAAGTAACTGTCATGTGGGCATCCTCATCTATGGATATTGCTGTACAAGAGAAATCATGCGCCTGCTTTTTCGCAGGAAAATTTTCACAATTCAAGTTTATGTTAGGAAATGTATATGTTCACAATTTCTTGAAAAAAGTAATCACAGGAAGAGATAATTGTATATGATATCATGTAATTCAACATATTTTTTATGTTTCCAAAGGATTATTGACCGAAGAATATTGACTAATATTTCATAAGTTGCAATGTTAATATATAAATAAAGTTGACAACTTATGCCAAAATTTAGAATTAATGCCATTCACTTTTTTGTACCAAAAAAAAGTGCACGCAAATTTTACTAAATTAACTAGCTTTCTTTTTACTTTTACGACTAGAAACAAAAGTGTTGTTGTCTTCATATTTTTTTAATTAATTTCTTTTAAAATATTATTTTCTTTTCTTTTCTTTTCTTTTCACTCTTTAAATGCATTCAATATTTTTTTAAATTATAACACTTTTATTTTTCATGATAAACCAGCGAAAACACGTGTTAAAGGGTATGTGTGTCTATATTTTTTTTGTAATCAATTTTTAAATTAAAAAAAAAAATATGTTCTCTCCATTATTTTTAATATATTTTATTTTTTTCTTCACTAATTATGTATCATTTTTTATATATATTTATTATTTTTTAAATATATAAAATATAATAATGATTTTTTTATAACAAAAAATAATTATAAAAAGAATCATCATTGTATATCAATAAAAAAAATTAGATATTTTAACACCTATATGATCATAATTTTTATATTATTAATTTTTTAAAATAATTAATTTTTTAATTTTTATTTTTCACATTTACTATCTCTACTTTTGTAAGTGATACATATTCTTTTTTTTTTTACTATTCTCACATTTTTTTTCTTTCTTCAAATGTAATTTTTTTCTAATTATTTTATTCACTTTTTCCTCTGTCTATCATCATATATTCTTTATTCATTATACATTATATTTTTTTCTCTCTCCTGTCACACCAAAAGAACCCTTATAGAAAAGGGAATCCTAGATAAAACTCGCATGCTTTATTTAATAAAAGCATAACATTCATCTATTCAATAATTCAACATATTTAAGATTATTTAATTCACATTACCAACCTATCTGTGCGTTGCCTCTCTTGCTTGAGACATTTCTGACGAAAAAGTAATACAAGAATTAAGTTATACTAAGCATCCTGTTGATAAACTACTCAGAATTTGAACTTGATCCCATATCTATATAATGATTTACTATATCACTTTATTTGTATATGTTAAGGTTCCAACATAAAACCAATTGACAATATGTGGAGTAGCCTAACATATATTTAAACCATACCAAATGACATGAGGTAGGCGATGTGGGACTTTCAACATGCCCCTCCAACGAAGTCTGCCAAACCAAGCAAAGGGTACTTTTGACCCAACTAAAGGGCAACTTTTGGCCCTATGACAATAACCGAAAAGATTTTAGGCCTTGACTCTAATACCATGTTAAGGTTCCAACATAAAACCAATTGGCAATACGTGAAGTAGCCTAACATGTATTTAAACCATACCAAATGACATGAGGTAGGAGATGTGGGACTTTCAACAGTATAGATAGACATGTATCTCGGACAATAATCCAACCTTAAAATATGGTATTTGTTGAAATCAGAATGATGAGCTACAACAATATAAACCAACAATCAATTGCGTTGACTGATGATATCAACTAATTAAAATACAGGTCATCGAAGCAATTTACAGTGACATTCTAATTAAATACGAAATATATATTGTTCAATCTAAATATTGTGTATGAACAACACTCTGCCAGAAGAAACTACCAACTTCCTTCCTTGGACATCTTCAGAAAATGGGACAGAGTGATATTTGGGAGCACTGGCGAACCCCTTTTCTTCTTCTTTATCTTTGTAATCTTTGACGACTCCACACCGTTATTATCTGTCACTGTATCCGATGCCAGATTGTAGAACTGTTCACAGAATATATGGCGAAGTTAAATTTAAATACACAAGAGTAAAGTTAGTCTGGATGCTGATTCGTTACAGGAAATTAATTGGATGTAACAATCTAAATTAAGTACAATCTCAAACAGAAGTCCTAGTTTGTTTGAAGGAATATATCTTTATGGAAAATATTATCTAATTTTTGGTATGTAAAGCATTTCGTTTCAGCATTTTCCAGTTTATAGCACATTGATGATGGCTTTCCCTGAGCAAAATGTTCCTATTTGTGTTTGCAGTATTTTCGAATCTCACTTTTTTGGGCATTAATAAAGATGATAGAGAATTGAGTTTCTGGGTATTAACAAATGGAGCTGCATCTTACCTCACAAACTCCATGCAGAAGCAATCTGTGGAAAGGATCTTGAATCTGCAGCTCCAGAACATCTCCATCTATGCTCTCTGTTATGAAGGTTTTTAAACATTCCTAAAGCAAAAGGTTCCGTGAATGCCCAAATGCATATTTGTAAGTAGTTACAGCAAATGAAATGCATTTAATATTGGCCCCTTTCCTGCCCAACATAATGGTTTGGTGATGCAGAGGAGTACTACTATTCATTGATAAGATAAATACCTCATAATTCTCTATGAGCTCAGAAAGAGAGCTGCGGCGAAGTGCATCTCTTGTTCTACAATCAATTCTACGCCAACCATTCAACACTGCCAACTTGTCGGAATCAATGTGACCTTTCCTTTTTTCTACAGAGTTCTCCAGGGAATTAATTATATTAACCTACCAAAACAAACAAAAAATCTATTATGAGATGCTTGCTAGTTGCCACCACGTGTATGCCAACCAGCAGTCAACAATAAACCTCGAGGTTATACTTTCACCTTGATCTAAATTATACTGATCCTCAAGCATACACACACATCGATTCACATGAACATGATACCCGCACAAAACATTAAATAAATGACGCCATACCATGATTGCATCATTGCAACAGAAACAAAAATCACAACATAAATGACACCAAGACCCATTTTAAATAAATGCTAAAGAAAAGTGGGAAAACTGAAGTTATAACTGGTGATCACAGACAAGTCAAAATCCAAAAAGTAATATTATTGATGCATGTTAATTCAATTGCGGGTTCACCAAATTGCTATCTCAAACAGTAAAAAATTTCAAAGATAGTCTACAAAAAAGAGAAGTTATAACTATTAAGTATATAACCTCTTTATCCATGTCTATATTCCTGAATCGGTCCCATTCCTCTATGTTAGTCATGGAAAATGTAGAAGGCGGGACTTCATCACCTGTAAAATGAATCCAATCGTTGCTAACATACAAAATGGGAACAATCAGCTGACACATAAAGGAAGGAAAGAAAGAATACATCAGAAAATGACTCAATTTATAATAAATATCAGTGCTGAGAGTTCAAAGCCACTTCACTTTGAAAGTATTCTACAGATTTGATGAAATTTTCAAATGTGCCTCTTTGATTTCCAAGCACGTGTAATATCATATGCTCAACAAAAAAAAAAACATGTAATTTATTAGTAAGATCTCTTGCATTGTGTGTAAGAATTCAATTCTTGTTTGCCTAAATGCAATCATTGCCAATAGAAACAAGGCACCCATGCATATCCAACTAAAAACAATTTTTTTTCTTACAAATATAACGAGCAATTTTATATCTTTTCGATATAAAAAACAAAATACAGCAGATGAGTGAGATAAATACCCCAAGGTGGTGGAGCAAATAAGCCTTTAATTTCCTCTGCATTTAAACGCGGTACTAGTTCCATCAAGAGACGGTCATTTAACCACCTACGGGACCTTCGATTTGTGACCTAAAGCAGGTAACATAAGTACCAAGTTAATTCCTAACTTAATAGTAAAATAAAAAAACTAATATCTTGTGATTGTTATCACTCAGAGTAGGTAAAAACATGAACTGGCAATAATTAGCAAATATCAACCTCTTAGGAGATCCACATACAATATAAAAAATGAAAATGAAAATAGAAAACCTGCAGTATATCATTGACCTAATGCTTTAAAAGTCCTCCAAAGGGAAAATCACAAAACAAGAATTAATTTCATACAAACAATCGCTCACCTGCAGCTAGTCAATCCTTCCTTATCCACCATTTTAAAATACAATAATATGAGCACGTCATTTGGTAAAAGCATTAATAGACAAATTATTAAACAGTTCGAATTTTAAAATATTCACAAAGATAACATTTGTGATTAGAGTTGTTTCATTTAAACCTTTGTCCTCCAAAAAATAACTACTTAATGAGTACTGCATTTGCTCACTGGTTTTCATAATTCGATTACCAAAGATAATAAAACTTTGCAAGCCAATACACAAATGTAGACGGATATTTAGCCTAGTACCAAAAGAATGTTATAACAATAACCAGTTTCTCAAAAATATCCATTACATTTCCATATCAAATAGAAGAGGAATACCAAAGTTTACTCACTAATAACACAGTATAAATATAATTACAATTGTACATGTAATACACACAATCAATCGGTGGGTGTAAATACCAACCTTTCCAGTTAAGCTCTCGAGGAACTCTATCTTCTTTTCAATGGACATCCCACTGGATTTCGACCCATCTAATCATTTCCAACAAAATTACTAATTAATTTAACAACACGAGGAACACCGATCTGGCCACGCTAGATTCAATCATTAAAATCAAATAAGCTCAAGGCCATCTCCAAGAGCACGCAATTTTGAAAAAAAAGGAAAATAGTAGCAATTTATTTCTTTTCTAAAAAATAAAAGAGTTACCTTTGGGAGGGTCGCTGAATGGAGATGAAAAGAAATGTTCGAGTTCTCTGTGAAGAACCATGATTAGTTGACGATGGAAGAAGCAAGCAGATCTAGGAAATGGGATTGAAGAGAGAGATTAAAAGAAATGGATCAGCTCAGGAATAGATATAAGATAATCAGAGATTCACAAACACAAAGCTTGAATATGATAAATTTAGACTAAACGAAGGAATATTCTTCTTGTGCTTCTCGTATTCTAATATTTGATGCCTCACTTGATGACGACGGTGTCCTTCGAGTGCATGTAATGGACCGGACCAGCCCAGGCACGCCATCAATGGCATTGGGCTCAATTTTAGATTTGGTTCTCTTCCTGCACCTCATATTTTCTTCCTTCACGCCATGAATATATTTCATTGAAGAGTGTCTCAGAATACATAATTTGAAAAATAAAAATGCCAAAAAACATTTGAAAATAGGATTAATTTTTTTTTTAATAGTAATGTATTTTAATATCAATTTCTAAATAACAATGTAAAATAATATTACAAAATTGAATTATTAGTCAAATTAAGTTCAAATTATTTTTTTAAAATTCATTAAATAATTCATAGTAATAATAAAATTATTTTTTAATTAATAATTAAATAAATGAAATGTTTATTTATTTATTTGACTTTAAATCTTTATATAAAAGAACGTCTATATAGAAAGAAACCTTGTTTTTGGTCAAATCATTCCAGAAAATTAGAACTGTTTAAATGTGTTGATGGGGTAAAATATAAATTGTTTTGGAAATTTTAAATTATTTTATTTTATTTTTATTTCCCTGTGACCTCTATGTATCTTTGTTAAGACTAGTGAACTTTTTATTGGATGAAGAAAGACCAAAGGAAATGAGAATGCAAGCAAAAACGTTGTTCGATTTTCTCAATGAAATCAGATAAAAACTATTAGGTAGTCTTATACGTATTTGAGTTTTTAAAATTAAAATGAAATAATTAATAATATTCAATTTTCAAGTTAATAATATTTAATTATGTATTGAGATTGACCACATCTGGTAGGATAATTTCTCACAGTTGGGACACTATTGGTTTCCAGTGCATGATGAGTATTTTAAACATTTACAATATTACCTAATTATTATATATTTTTATTTAATTATTTGTGATTTTTTCATTAATTTATTTTTCTTTTTATGTAATTCAAATTCTTCATTTTTTTGGTTTATTTCCTTTTCTATCCCTGGTATCTTCTCTTCAATCTAATCCACAGATCTAGTCTTAAATGGTAACCTTCATTTAAAAAATATTTGAGGGTAAATTCGGTATTTCATTGTAACAAACAACGTCACCAGAATCACAGTACTACTGGCAGCACTGCGCAATGCACCTTGCGTGCGTACGTAGCCGGCAATAACAGAGCATCAACAAGCAGAGCAGAAACAGAGCACGCTCACTTTCTCACTGAAAACCCTACGTCGGTTACCCTTTCTCCTCTTCATTTCTAAAGTATCTTCCTTTTTTTATTTTCTCGCAAAATCGACATCATTGTTGCTTTGGCTGCGAAAACACTGCAATCTCGACACGTTCTTTGCTACCCTTTTTCTTGCTCATCTTCAGTTTGTAGTGAGGAAGTTCTTTCTTTGACCATCTTTTTAGTTAAGTATATTGTTTTCTTGTAGTTGATAAAATTCTATTTATTTCCCATTTTTGTCTAAAGTGTTAGTGATGGAAGAGCAAAGTAACCAAGAGAACCCTGTGCAACTAACATCGTGTGACACTGGGGGAACAACCAATGATGTCTCTCATTCAGCTGAGGGTCATCTCATTTCAAACCCAAAATTTGGCATTGCAGCATCATCTGGAAGAAATGGGAGCCACTGGACTTGCTTTCCTAAACCATCTCATAACTATGTTGAGTATCTTTCGGAATCCTCAACTTATCTGCCAAACACTTCCACTGATTACATGATGGGGGGTAGTTATCTACCTGTCGGCAACATCAATGATGGTAACGTGGTTGATGGATCGGACAGAAACTTCTTTTATAATGATCCAGGAAAAGTCTGTGCCTTTAAGCCTATTGGTTCTTCAAGTAATGACCTTGACATTAGGAAGGTAAGCTCTTTGAACAGAAAAAAAATAAAAAATAAAAAATAATCAATTTAAGTGAATTTAGTGAAACGAATATCATAGCTTAGTGGGGTTTTATTATGTCTTTGTTATGTGTGTTTTTAGCAGGTGGGGTTTTGGAGAGCTGATGAAGGAGAGGAAGTAATTAAAGTTGAAACTGAAAGCAGTCAAAATTTTCTTTATGCAGAGGTCGGTTAATGTCTTTCCACCACGCATATATCACATGAAATTGTGCCTACACAATAGCTAAAATATTATGAAAATTCTGAAATTTATGTAATGATTTATACTCTAATTTTGTGACAGAATCATGCTTTATGGACAGCAGATTCTCTTGGAGATAAGCATAATGCTTCACATGATCCAATGGTAATGGTTGGTGCACCTGCTTTACTTCCCAAACCGGGAAGCAGCTCCTCAAAAGAGAAAGCACGTATCACTGACCGTGTAAGTGAAAATTGCCACTGGTCACAGTAATGGCAATTTATCATATTCCATTTCTCTAATACAACTTGGGTTCCTCACACATGTGCTTTTCAATATAGCAACGAAGGCAACGTATCGCTGATAACCTCAAAGCCTTACACGAATTGCTTCCAAATCCAGCAGAGGTAATCTATTTTTTATGAATAAACAATAGTCAATCAAAAGGAGCTTTCTATACTATGTTGTTAATTTATCATTAATAGTGTGATATTGTGATCACCTACTCAAACAGAATGACCAGAAATTGGTAATAAACTGTTCTTAATGTTTAAATTTTGAATATGTCGAGATAGTGTCATTATGCACAAGTGAGAATAAAACATTGTCAGAAAGCTTTACTTTCTGGACAGTTTGGAGTTATACTTAACACTGCATTCATATAGACTGAATCTTACAATTACTTGGTGAAATGAATTTAATTTTGTAGGGAAGTCAAGCGTATATACTGGACGATATAATTGACTATGTCAAATATTTACAGCTTCAAATAAAGGTACCTTTTAACTCCTAATATTCTAACCATTTTTAATGTAATTATATACATGCTCAGGAATCCCATGCATACATTACTGTGATATGCTTCTGATCATTATTGTCTTGCTACATTGTATTAATGGCATAAGGGACATGCATGCATAATACACGTTCTCCAATAAGTAGGGACTAGATAGAGGATCTGCATCTACTATTACTAAGGAGATTGTTCCTTGCAGGAACAAAGTGGAAGTAGATTGCAAGCGGAATCAACTGCTATACCTCTAGTTTTTCATGAGGTATAATTATAGTTGATATCAGTAGATACACAGAATCGCTGTGAATTCATTCCTCATATGAGAGTCAAATATTGCAGGGTTATGGGCACTATATCAACCAACAGATGCTGAACGAACCCCTTGAGGAGATAATGGGGAAACTGCTTGAAGAACATTCAGCAGCAGCTGGTCAGCTACTAGAGAGTAAGGGTCTATTCCTGCTGCCTATGGCTTTGGTTGATGAGTTGAGTGAGGCTATGCAAATGTTTGGGGGGAGTGCACTTGCCTGATAGAAGCTTTCTCTTATTTATTTTAGTTCTCCGTTAAGGATCATTTCTATTAGACAGTAGCTGTAGTATGATTATTATCTCTGTTTGTGTTACACTAACATTTATGTCTTCTTCCAAACTTCCAAAATTTCTCCATACTCATTATCCTATGAAAAACCTTTGACGATTGTGGGGCAACTTCTTTCATCCCACAAAGATATTATTTTAAGTTAGATGGATAAAAAATCAAAATATTCATACTTAATCCATTTTTTTCATATTAAGTGTTTTAATACAAATGTTCAAATTTATATTCATGTTTTTTGAATTTAAAATTTAATCTAATTAGTTGGGTTTACATTGCATATTTTTTTAATTTTAAAAATTTCAAAAATCAATATTCATCTTGTCAAGATAAATCAATAGAAATTCATAAATCAACAAGTGAATAGGAATAAATTTAGTCTCTTCTTGTCAATCAATTATATCATATTCGTACTCGTGGATATTTCTTAAAAAATGTTAAAAATAAGATATTGTTATCTCAAAATTAGATAAAAACAAAATACTTTTCTTCACATGTAGTAAATTCTTAAGAAAACATATTATTTATTTCATTTCATTTCAAAATGATCTCCATTTGAGATTTTTGCACTCCAAAGAGTAGAAGAGTTCGCACGCGGTAACTTTAACTTTAACTTACATAGAACATAATTCCATTTAAATATATTTCGGTAAAATAAAATAATAATAATAATAATAGTAATAATAATAATAATAATAATAATAATAATAATAATAATAATAATAATAAGAAAGTACATTTATTTCCCAAAATAAGACTCTCACCTCTTATTCTATAAGATACATACACTTACTATACACGTTTAATAAAATAAAATTCAATTCGCACTAATTTTTAAATAAACATCACTTCTTTCATGATTTTAATAAATAACATTCATCTCTCTCTTATTTTACTTAAAAATAACATATTCAATAAACATATCAATTTTATAAATAATATATTTTTAAAAAAATTACTCAAATAATATTTTATAAATTTTTTTATCTGTTTATAGTTTATATATGATTTTTCTTCTTTTCTCACAAGATTTTTTTTTATATTTCTTTCTTCTTCACTTTTTGTTGTTCACTATTCTTTATCATTTATTCTTCTAATTAAAATACTATATTAAAATTTAATAAAAATATGATAACATAAAAATTTTAAAATTAACATTGAAATTAAAAAAAATCAATCAATTATTTAAAATTATAATAACAGTAAATAATATTTTTCTGATGAAAATAGATTTAAAATTACTTTATCATAATAAATTAATTACTTATTTAATTAAAAATATCAAATATTTATAAGTTAAATTTATTTATTTTTAATTAGTATTTAATCTAGTTATAATTAGATTAAGTTAGTTAAATTAAGTAATTTAAAAATATATTTAATAAATAATTATTTTAAAATAAATATTAAATTTTTTTCTTAATAATTATGATATAGAAAAATATTTGTAACACCTCAAAATTTATTATCTAATAATTTTTCAAATATAATGTATTAAATTATAGTATTTTTTTTAGTAATTTAAATAGTTTTATTTTCTAAAAATAAGAAAAAACCTATTTTATCGAATTTCTGGTATTTTTAATTAAAATAATAAGATTCAGTCACAAAAGAATAAAATAGAGGGAAATGAAAAAATAAATAAAAAAATGAATAAGGAAAAAAAAAATGAAAAGAGAAAAAAAAAAAGATAAATGAGAAGAGAGGAAAAATAAGTAGATGAGGAGAGAAAAATAAGAAAATAAAAAAAATAAATATTTTTTCACATAAATAATGTATTTTAAAAAAATAAATTTTAAAAAATTATAAATTTAAGTAAATCAAAGTACAACTTCAGAATAAAAAAATCGTACTCTATAGCACAGCACAATTTGTTTAAGAAGAAATAGCTAGTAATATTTAGTACGATTTCTATAATTATATTATAATAATAATCATTATATTGTTATAATTAATAATAACATTTTTTATATCACCAATAAAATAGATTTATATTATTATTTTATTATTAATAATATTAATAATAAACTAATATAATCATAATTATTAATATTATTAATTATATTAATAATATAAATATTTTAATTATTATTTATTTTATTATTAATTATAATAATAATATTATTATTATATAATAGAAAAATTGTTATTATTATTTATAATAATAAAATAATACAATAATTATTAATAATAACAATATTAATTATTATTCATTTTTATATTAAATAATACTTTCTCGAAATATAATCTTAGTGACAATGTAATTTTTATGATTTTTTTAATATACAAATAATTCAACCATGTAATTTTAAAAAAATAATCTTTAATTTATCTTTAAAAGTTTAATTTTAATTTCATAAATTTTTATTTAAGTTGCAGATAATATGATATTTTTAAATTAGATAAAATAGAAGAATATAATTTAATTAAAATAAGAGAAAGATGAGTGTGATTTATTAAAATATAAAATAAATAAATATTTTTTTAATTAAAAGGATGTGAGTATTTTTTATTAAAAACATATAAAAAGAGTGATTATATAAAAATTAGGAGTGTGAGTGTTATTTATATAATATAATAGTAGTATATAATTATAATACGTTATTAATCTTTTTATGAATAATATTTTAGATTTTTTAAACCATGCTCCAAGAACATTAAAATTAAAGAATCAATCCTCAAGTCTAGGACCATCGCCACTCTGTTAAGCATGATAATAAATTGTGTTGTATTTTACTTAAAAAAAATTAGGTCTGCATTTTTTTAATTATAGTTAACATCAAATTCATAAATCTAAACAATAAAAATAGTTATACTAATTATTAATATCCTTAGGAAAACAATAAAAACAGTTATACTCATTATTAAAGTGAAATATTGAATATTATGAATACATGTATTATAGTATTTAAAATAATCATATATTTACTAGTATTTGAATATATACTTAAATTGACCATTTGAGAATCGAATATATACCGCATCTGATAATTACGTACCGACAAACAACATCAAGAACGACACTCCCCGAACCTATACAATATCACTCCAACCAACTCATTTCTTCAAATTGCTTCAAAATATGGGTTTCCTTCTATCCATTATTTATTGAACTAGAAGACAGATCAAGAGATGGGTTTGATATTTTTAAATAATTGAATTTTAATTAAATTAAGATAAAATCAGCAAAATTAATATATTATTTTTATAAAATATATAATTTATTTTTATTTTTTTATCTCCTACGTCAACTTTAAATAATAGTTATTTTATCATATTTTAACCATTATTCATCTTATATTTTTTAATATATTTTATATTTATAATATTTATTATAATTTAAGGCTATCACGATAATAATATATTAATTTTTTTTAAATATTGTTATTAATGTACTTATATTATATTATAAAAATATTATTTTATTAATTGAGTTAAATCTCTATTGAATTTTTATATCAATTTAATAATTGATGAGATTTTAATTGGAATTTTATTGATGTTTAATAATATTGTTTTTATCTTTATCAAGGATATACTCGTTAATTAGAGAAAAGAAATTTTAAAAAGGATGAGGTTTAAAGAGACAGAATTTTGGAAAGACTACTAGAAAGAAAAACTTGAAGACACAAATTACATTGAGGAAAAAATGACTCTAAATGCTATTTTTATAAGAATTTTCAAATTATTATTTTTATTATTATTATTATTATTATTATTATTATTATTATTATTATTATTTTTAACTTTATTTTTTACTTTGAATTGCCTGTATATCACTAGATATTTTTAGACCTAAAATTGGATGTAAAGGAATAAGAATCCGTTTTTGGTTTTTTGGATGAGAGAAAGTACCTTTCGTAACCGAGTTTGATGAATTAGCAAAACGATCACCCTGCACTGTTGTTGCAAGAATCTAACGCTAATGTGTAGGGGAGAATAACAGGTGATTGAAATGGAAGATGAATTTTGGAGAATAAAATAGGGTTTATGGCAGGGAAAATGACACTTCACACTAATTTGTATGGATCAATCCGAACACGGATCCATGCAATTATCGTGTGCGAATCTGAAGCCATATTGCCATGGCCAACCTTCGTTCTCATGCATAAACTAAGAGCAGAGTCAGTGTCAATGATGAAAGTAAACCCAGTACTTTCCTTGCACTTCATATCAGCACAAATACCCTTTGCTTAGGTCATGCTTCCACTTCACATCACCATTTCCATGCTATATCTATGCAAGATTGCAACATATATATATGGGCCACTAATTAACCTATTTTTGGTCACTATGAGAAACACGTGCGCATGAATCACGGAGGACATTTTCGCCACTAATAAGAGAAAAAAATATTTACTTAAATCTTGTAATATTTACTAATAGTGCTAACTAAAAAGGAATATTCACGAAGTAAACAAAGTTGAAGCGAATACATATACTTTTTTTTATTGAATTTTTTTATACACTTTGAACCTTATAATAACCATATATCTCTAGTTGAATTCTTACGCACCTTATCATTTAAAATGCATTCTTTTTATCACACGAATGTTTGAATGGAAAAAGGTTCTCACATCCAATATGAATGAACTCGACCTTGGTTTTGATTTACTATTATTAGTCATATTTGTATAACTCCTACATGTTCATGAAATACTACTCTCTTGAAAAGCTGATAGAAAAGTAGTTATTATGTTATCAAAATATAAACTAATCTAAATCCAACCAAGAGTTGTGCATAAGTTTATTTATAAATATATTGTGCCCATCAAAATATGATGTCTTTATAGTAAAGTAAGAGAGTTGTTAACCCTATTGTGAGACAAGATGAGTGGAAAAGCTGGTCTAGCCGCTGAAGGGTAGCTACCTCTTAGCAGAAAAGACCCAGATACATATATAGACAAAATTGAAAACAAACAAAAAATAGGGAATA